GCCCTACATTTCTGTTGTTGTTTCCGCCCTACTTCTGTGGATTTTCGCCTCATTTCAGGTTGGGTGCAGAAATTTCCGCCCTACTTTTTCGGTTCCTTATAAGTGGATTTCCGACGCAATTTTAAGTTGGAAAAAAGCCAAAGTAGGGCGGATCTGGAGTCGGGGCGGCCCCGTGAGGAGCCACGCCAACGGCCGGCGGGCAGGGAGGGTCTCCATGCCGGACGTCTTTTATAGTTATATATTATATCTTCCGCTTTCTTTGTAGGAGGGGCGTGTGGCCTGCAAGGGGCCGCGGGCGCGCTCTCTGGCCAGACTCCGCTTGAGCCAGAGGCTACGGACGCTGGTTGGGCTACTTTTTTGTTAGCAGCCGAAGGCGAGCGCGCCAACGGCGAGTGAGGTCCGAGCGGGCCGCGCGTGGGCCGAATTACCTAGCAAGGGGCAAAGCAGGGCGAAAACCTCCTGGCTGGGCTACGCGAAGCGTCAAGAATCTGGATCTTCGATCGAATAGGAAAAGAAAGAACAACATAAGCAAAAACTTGTTTGCGCTCCGCGCGGATTTCTTGAATCTGCGCTGGACCCCCTCCCTGGCGCGCGGAGCGCGCCAGGGGCGGCGCCAGAAGCGCCGCCAGGGGGGGGGGCGCCAGCGCGGATCCAGGAAATCCGCGCGGAGCCTAAGCTTATGTTTATGGCGTTTTCCGATAGACGCAGGCAGGCTCTGCCCTCCAAGAGCCAGTTTTTGTTGACTCTGGCAAGTTTACTTGCATGGACGGGGGGGGGCTGAAGCTGCTCGATTGAAGAGGGGCGAGGGGGGGAGGGGGGAGGGGTGGGGGAGTGGGGCAAACGCCATGCAGGCAAACTCCCCGGAATCTACAGAAAAACGTGCTCCACACCTTACGAGGGGCACGTCCCAGTACAGGCGGCCTGTGTGGGCCAAACGTTTGACATCGTCGAATCATGCTCAAAAAAATACCCCCTCTCAAAATGGCAGGAAGCTCGCCTTCAGACAATATTTTGGACTATATCTGAATCTTCCTCCTGTATTTGGACGCCCGAAATGGGCACGGAAAGAATGGGTACAATGCCCAACAACCAATGTTGTCCCAAACCAACAGCGGCCACTGTTGGGCAGGCGGCCTTCTGCCTCAAATGGACACAGGCCGCGGCGGCGCGGACAGCGAGCCCTGTTCAGAATGAGCAGGAACTGCTGCTGGGCATCGTGCCCACTCTTTCCGTGCCCATCTCGCGCGTGCAGACTGCAGAGGGGCGGCCGTGCCCGACTTCGTCCAACAAAAACCCGCCCCCGCGCCTCCTCCGACGGCGCCGCGGCGCCGTGCGGGGGCTCCCGGCGGCCGCCCCTGCGGGAGAGGGGCTGGCGGCGCGGGGCGAGCGGAGGGGCCCGGGCGAGGAGCCACACCGTCTTGGGCGTGGCTTCATGGGAGGGTCATACATGAGGGGGGTCAGAAACGGTCCCCTTTCGTGCCCCTTTCGGGCTCCTCTGGAGCCCCAGGGGGCTCGTTTAGGTACTGTTTGGGTACCTTTTCGGACCACCCGCGGCACCCCCCCATTTATGAACCCCCGATTACGCGGCGCCCATCGCGGACAGCCTCCTGCGCCGGGGAACAGGCGCAGCGTCAACGACGGTGGAGGCCTGCTGCTCCGAATCCCTTCTCAATCGACCCCCCCCCAAAAAAAAACACCGGACCCCCCCTCCGGATGCGACCTGATATTCCGGACCCCCCTCTTCGACGGGGCGCCTATATTAAACCGGACCCCTCAAGCTCCAAGCCAAAGAAGGCGCCCTAGTAACCCAGATCCCCCCACTTACAAAAGAGGCGCCTTACAAAACCAGACCCGGGGGACGATGAAGAAGAGATTTGGAGTAGACTGATGCTGCTCCCATCGCACTCAACGACCACATCCCAGGCATAGCATCGAGCACCCAAAGAGGAGAAGTGTCGAAGCAACGTCGAGCGAGTGCAGCCTCCCGGGGCCCCACGCGTGTAAGCCCTCTGGCTTCGGCATGTT